TCCCAGCTACTTGGGAGGCTGAGGCAAGAGAATCACTTCAGCCCAGGAGTTGGAGGTTGCTCTGAGCTGTGATGCCACAGCACTCTACCCAGGGCAGCAGCTTAAGGCTCTGTCTCAAAAAAAAAAAAATTATTTCAGTGTATTTAGGGGGTATAAGTATAGTTTTGTTACATGGATATATTTTATAGCAGTGAGATCTGGTCTTTTAGTGTGCCCCTTTAGCTAAATTGTATACATTTAGTATACATCGTATCAAGCAGGTAATTTTTTTAATACTTTACAGCCCTTCCCTCCCACCTTTGGAGTCTTCAATGTATATTGTTCCACTCTGTATGATGATGTGTAGCCATTGCTTAGCTCCCACTTACAAGTGAAAACATGCAGTATTTGATTTTCTGTTCCTGAGTTACATCACTTAGATAATAGCCTCCAAAAATATGAAATGTTTAATGAACTTGTGAGTCATCCTTGCACATGGCCATGCTAATCCTGTGTGTATCATTCCAATTTTAGTATGTGCACTGCTAAAGTGAGTATGATTTTACTTCTTTCCTTCTAATTTGAATGCCTCTTATTTTTCCTCTTGCCTAATTGCTCTGGCTAAGACTTTCAGTACTACATTGAATAAAAGTGACAAGTGTGGGCAAGTGTCTTGTTTCTGATCTTAGAGAATAATCTTTCAACTTTTTACCATTGAGTATGATGCTAACAGTGAGCTTATACAATATGGTTTTGATCATGTTCAGGTACATTTCTTCTATACTTAATATGTTGAGAATTTTTATTATGAAAGAATGTTGAATTTTGTCATATGCTTTTTTCTGCATCTATTGAGATGATCATATGATTTATATTCTATTTTTAAGTGTGTTGTATTCTATTCATAAATTTACATATGTTGAATTATGCTTGCATCTCAGGGCTAAATCCCACTTAATTAGGGTATGTGGTCCTTTTATTGTGTTGTTGAATTCAGATTGCTAATATTCTATTGAGGATGTTTGTGTTTATGTTCATCATGGTTATTGGCCCAGAATTTTTTTTCTGGTCATTTCTTTGCCTAACTTTGGCATTACGACAATGTTGGCCTCATAAAATAAGTTTAGAGGTTTTCCCTTCTCTTTTTGTTATTCTAGTCTTCTCTCTTTTTCTTTGTCTATCTGAGGAGTTGTCAATTTTGTTTGTGTATCCAAAAATAACATTTAGCTTTATTCTTTTTCTATTGTTTTTCTATTCTCTATTTCATCTATTTATGCTTCAATATTTATCATTTAGTTCTTTTTACTAACTTTGGGTTTAGTTTATTTTTCTCTTTCTCATTCCTGAAGATGAAAAATTAGGTTGTTGTCTGATATGTTTCTTTTTTCTAATAGGTACTTACTGCTATTAATACAAACTTCTCTCTTACTACTGTTTTTGCTGCATACTATAAATTTTGGTATGCTATATTTTCATTTTAATTTGTCTCATGATTTTCTCTAATTTCTTTTATGACTTCTTTTTTGACCTATTGGTTTTTGAGGAGTGTATTGTTTGATTTCCACATACTTATGGATTTTTCAGTTTTCCTCTTCCTATTGATTTCTAGTTTTATTTTATAGTGACCAGAAAAGATACTTTAAATCTTTATAAATTTATAAAGACTTGGTTTTTTTGGACATGTAATCTATCCTGGAGAATGTTCCATGTGCACATGAGAAGAATGTGTATTCTGCTGTTGTTGAGTGGAGTGTTCTGTGTGTTTCTTAAGCCCAGCTGGTTGATAGTGTTGTTCAAGCCTCCTATTTCCTTATTGATTTTCTGTCTGGTTGATCTAGTATTGAAAATGGACTGCTGAAATCTCCTAACATGTTGCATTACCATCATTTTTTCCTTTAATTCTTTCAATGTTTGCTTGAGATATTTGAGTGCTCTGCTGTTGGTACATACATATTTATAATTACTATATCTTCCTTGTGACTTCACCCTTTATCATTATATAATGTCCTTCTTTGTCTCTAATGAAAGTTTATGACTTAAATTCTATTTTACCTGATATAAGTATGGACACCCCTGCTCTCTTTAAGTCATCATTTGCATGAATTATCTTTTTTCATCCTTTTATTTTCAGCCTATATACATTATATGAAGTATCTAATGTTGTTCTCTTATAGACAGAAAATAGTTGGATTTTGTGGGGGGGGTAAAATTTGTTCAGCTATCATATGTCTTTTGATTAGAGAGTTTAATCCATTTACATTTAAAGTAATTACTGATAAGAAAGCACTTACATTGTTTTCTGTGTGTCTTGTGGTTATATTGTTCCTCTTTTGCTGCCTTTCTTCATATTTCTTTGAATTTTGTAGAGATATGATTTGATTCTTTTATCATTTTCTTTTGCTCATCTTCTATTGATATTTTTTTGGTTGCCATGGGGATTACATAAAACATCATACTTAACTTTTAGTTATATACAAAATCTCTACTCCTTTGCATCTCCCTTCCCTGACTTTGTTATCAATGTCATGAATTGCATCTTTACATATTTGCTAGCCATTAACATATTTTATTGTTGTAGTTATTTTCTTATGCTTTCATCTTTTCAATTCTATATCTGAATTAAATTATCTGTGCATCACAATTACAGTGTTATAAGATTCTTTATTTGTTTACATATTTATTTTACTAAAAGGCTTTATATTTTCATGTGCTTTCATGTTACTGTCTAGTGTCCTTTTGTTTCAACTTGATGGACTCCCTTTAGAAATTCCTAAGGCAGGACTAGTGATAATGAGCTCCTTCAGCTTTTGTTTATCTGGGAAAGTGTTTTTCTTCTTTACTTTTAAAGGATATATTGAATATAGCATTCTTGGTTGGAAGTTTCTTTTCCTTTAGCACTTTGAATATATTATCCCACTCCTTTCTAACCTATAGAGTGTCTCCTAAGAAACCCATTTATAACCTCATGAGTACTCCTTCATACATAAGGAATTGCTTTTCTCTTGAAGCTTCACAATTTTTTATTTGTCTTTGACTTTTGACAGCTTAATTATTACTTATCTTAATGTGAGTCTGTTTGGATTCATTTTATTGGAGTCTTTTAGACTTACTGAATTTTTTAAATTTGTACAATTTACCTCATATTTGGGGAACTTTTGGCTATAATTTATTAAGTTGAGTTCTATTCTTCTTTCAATTTTTCTTCTTTTTCTGAGACTCCCATAATGTGTCTATTGGTCCACTTGATGGTGTTCCATAAGTCTCTGGTTTTCTTACTTTTTATGTTCTTTTTTCCTTTTGTTCCTCTAATTTAATAACCAAATGACCAGAATTTATGTTTGGTTCTTTTTTATAGTTTTTACTGATGTTCTAATTTTGTTCATGCATCATTTTCCTGATTTCATTTTGTTGCCTGTGTTTTCTTGCAGTGCATTGAGCTTCTTTAAAAAGATTATTTTGAAATCTTTCTCAAGTCATTCATAGGTTTCTGTTTCTTTAGGGTTGGTGGCTATCAATTTATTCTGTTCCTGTGATTGAGTCATGTTTCCCCATTCTCCATGTGCCCTGTTATTTTTTGTTATGATTTATGTATTAGAAAAAAATGTATATCCTAGCCTTTATCAACTTGCTGCATACAGGGGAAGACTGTCACCAATCAGACTTGCTAGAGATTCTGTTGGCCTCTCAAACCTTTTATGGAAATTACTCTTCTCCAGTAGTGTATCTTTTTCTGTGTGTATAATTTCCCAATTAGAGAGGTTTGCTAATTTGTCAGGAGGTTGTAATCTCTTGTTTCCTTTCATGTATTTTTGTGACACTGTAAGTTCTCTGGTGCTGCAACAAGCTATTGATCTCTCTTTTGTTCTCTGCAGCCCCCAGCCCTCAGGTCAGACAAGACAGAAGCCAGTCTCTCGTGCAGCAACCTGAATATCTGGAACATTAGATATATATTTTATTATTTTCTTTTATTCCTGAGGGAGAAGCCATAAACTGGTGCTTTCCCCTAATCACATAAAGCTATACCAGCTTCTGTCTGTGGTAACACAAAATTTCTTGTGCTGTAACAAGTTGCTGAGATCTTTTGTGTTATCAGCAGCTACCAAGCATCCAAAGTTTTCCAGTTTCCTGTCAGCATTCTGAACCAAATGAGACCTAAATCATTCCCTAAACAGCCCCCGAGGGCTAGAATATTGGACATGTTTTCCATTCTTCTCTCTCCAGAAAGGGAAGGCACAAGTTGGATTTTTGTCCCAATGGTGTTGGGCTATGTTGGCTTTGGGGAAGGGCCCATATAAATTGAAATAAAATGGTTTTATTACTGTATCAATGCAATTATTCTTAGCTTTGAGCTTGCCAGGGGTACTGTGACCTCCTAACTTGTTTCTAGAGTTTTCATAAGGGGTTTTGGACCATATATTGTCATTAAGTCAGTATATCTGTAGGGGAATGATGTCTAAGGCTTCCTATTCTTCCATCTTGCTGACATCACTCTAAAAGTAGTCTAATCTTCCTTTTTAAAATTTAATTGTGCCATATAAAATCACAGGAGCAATATCTCACCATATTATAGTCCACAGAGATCAGGATAAGACATTTTTCTTAGGTTCATCTTAGAATTCTGTATGCCAGAATTCTAAAATTTAATGTCTTAACAATCATCTTATTTGCTCATCATTTTGTGGGTCAGTTGGGTCAGTTTTATAATCTGAACTGGACTGGCTGGAGCTGATGGTCCAGGATAGCCTCACTGACATGTCTGTGCCCCAGCTGAAATGCCTGGGATGGCTGGAAGGCTAAGGAACACTGTCTTTTATTCCCCAGAGGCTAGATCAGACTAATTCATATGCTGTCAAAAGAGTTCACAACAGCAAAAAAATGAAGCCCCAGTACATAGAACTTAAATTTATGTTTACTGATGTTCCATTGGCCAAAGTAAGTCACATGGTCAAGTCCAAATTCAAGGGGTGGAAGAATAGACTCCATCTTTTGATGGGAGGGGTTGTAAAGATTTTATGGTCATTTATTTGTGATCTACTGCAAACCCCTGACTAATGACATATTTATTATGAACAATATTTCACCCTGTGAAATCCTGGTCCAACCAAATTGTTGGGTAGTTCATTGGACTTCATTTTCAAAGGATTTGACTGATATTAATTATGATCCCATAAATTATACAAAAGCATAGTTTCTGACTTAAAATACCAGGCTAATCACTTTGCTGCTGCTTCTCCTTCTCCTTCTCCTTCTCCTTCTGCTTCTCCTTCTCCTCCTTCTTCTTCGCCAGGGTGGACTTAGACTCACAACTCATTGAAAATCACAAGTATCATTTGCATGTGTATGGATTTGTCATTTGATTTTATCACACTGGTATTTCTTACCATCTTCTTAACTTTAAAATGAACACTTGAAACCACAACAACCAAAAGAAGATAATATTAAAAAACTTCTTCTTATTATAGGAGACAAAATACTTTACTTTAGTGCACTACTGGTACAAAAAAACCCTTAAAGAAGTGACTACTAAAGAAGATGATGTAGAACTGTCTATGGC